CGGACACACAGCGGAGCAGCAGCACCTGGGAATGTTCTAACACACCAACCATGTACCCAACACTGCTCATTCTGCCTTTTTTGACCTTGAAGTCACTTTGTAGCCCAGGTTGGCCTTGAACTCAACAGTGATTCTCTTGCCTCAGCCTCCCAAGAGCTGCAATTACAGGTGTTCGATTTATAGGCTGGGACCCCGGGTCCTCAGCTTTCAGCTTTTCTTAGAATCCCTACTTCTCACAGAAGTGTGAGCTTTCCTTGTAAACTTTCTTTAGGGGCTTGGATCCTGGGCCTAGAGAGCATCAACACGCTTCAAAGCCATAGGTGAGAGACAGAAAGCTTGAAGGGATAGAAAGCTCTCTTCATAGAAGCCCATGAAGAGAGCTTGCCCACCATCCATGAGGCCCCAGATTCAATACAAAGCACTGGGGGGGGGGGGGGCGCGGAGAGACAAGCCTTGGGAGAGATGAGGCAGTCCTGAATTTTTCTCCTAACTTAGCAGCCCAATCTTTCTTGCTTTTCAAATTCTCCCCCTCCTTTCAGGCAGAAAGAAAAAAGAAAAAAGAAAAAAAAAAAAAAGGTCAGGCCAGCATTCCAGGCAGCTGCCAGCACTATCCCTAGTTACACTCAAATCTCCATGTGGTCTGGCCACAAGAATGGTCAGGAAACCAGCAAGCAGTTTAGGCCTGGAAGCAATGTCACAACCCTTCCACTGAGAAGAACTTCTGAGTCTGCATCTTGCTAGTGGATTTTTAAAATATAAACTTCCCCAGTTCCTCAGAAATACAGTCCCCCAGTTCTAGATGTGCACAAATACCAGGGAGCACTGAGGAAGTGGGTTATCTGGGCAGGGAAGTGGGGGGACACTTTGTCCCGCTTTACCTCTGTATCAACCCTTCAACTTCCCCTATCCTGTAAGCAAAACCTTGAACACTTCCTAGGTGAGCCCAGACTGATTTTGAACACAAGCTGAAGAGGCTATGCCAGGTGGTGAACTGCTGTTGCATCTGCTAAGATCACACAGTACCACTGACAGATCACAAACTCTGAGTCAGTAGCACAGTCACCCCTGCTGGAAACCCAATTTTTCTTTCTGGGCTCTGGCTGCCCCCGCACCTAGCTTTTGTTCCTCAATTTGCAAACTTGGTACACTGACAGGCTTCAACATCCAGGACCTTTTTTCAAACAGATTTCTCAAGTTCTCAAGTTCCTCGACCTTTAGGGGCCACTCTGCACATTACAGGATGTCTATCAGCAGCCCTGGCCTCCTGATGCCACTGGGATCTTCTCTCCAAAACTGTCTCAAACACTGCGAAGAGAAGAGCACCTTGTTGAGTTCTCTAGGCACCATTTGTGTAAGTGGGGTCATCTGTACCTTGAAAACTAGGAAAATCAGACAACTACTATAGAATGGCCAAGCGATATTTGTTGTTTTGGTTTAATTATCTTCACTTTTCTCAAACCTCTAAGGCAAGGTTTCTCAACTCCTATTGATATCTGGAGCCAGAAAATTCTTGAAGTGGGAGTGGGGGGTGAATCAGCCCTTTGCTCTACAGGATACGGTGCTGCATTAGAAGCCAGCAGTACATCAAATTGTGATAATTGACAAGTCCCCAGACACTGTCAATGTCCTCTGGGGGCAGAACTGGCTCTGGGTGAGACCCATATCCTACATGAAGATAAGTATCCCTCAATACTTTCCTGTAAGGAAGGAAGCATGTCTGCGTTAGGCCAGATAAATGCCACCAGTCGAGACCACTGGTTTACAGCCTGCTGCCTGGTCACATGGTGAGAACCCAGGCATGTCAGCTGTCACACACAAGTGGAGGCTTCTTGGTTCTACAGGGAACTGCATTCTGAGGGCTCAAGAGAATACAAGAGGTGTGACTGATGAGGAGGAAGAAAGAGAGGGACAGACCCAGCCATATAAACAAGGCAGATGTAGGGGAACTGGAAAGGATTACAGAAGAGGATGGAACACAACCAGGGTGATTCCAGACAGCACAGCTCGACACAGAACTGGTGGGGAGGCCAAGACAACAGCTCAGGAAGCGCTAGCTATCGCACTCATTCTTTGGGACAGAGGCTCAGAACTTGAGAACAGTAGACCGATCCTAATTGCCAGCTTATACCAGACTGTGCTTTCCAGGCTTTGTGGTGCTATCCACAGCTCAATGCAGGCCCCAAAGAGAAAACAGGCTCTGGTGGGCAGCCAAAGAGACTGAGCAGCTCCCTCAGACAGAGTGTGTGCTGGGGACTTCATGGGCCACCAACAGGCCTAACATTGGGCGTGGGAAGCAGAGGACTTGATACAAGAGAGAAATGAGGGGTACATTAAGTTTCCCAAGGCCTCTGTGACGTTTCCCACCAGAAGCCAGAATCCCAGCAAGTGACCTACATTCAAGGAAAGTGGAATCTCCTGCCTGCTAGTCAAAATCCACCTGGTTCCATTCTGCTAGGGCAAAAAAGTGTACTCTCAGCAACAATCCTAAAATTCCTCTGGATTAAATCTCTCTTCTCCCAGGGTTTAGTCATCATCTGGTGAGTAGAGATACACCCCAGATATTCTTATTTTAGATAACTTCCAGGCTCATTGCTTTTTCCCTCTAGGGGTGAGACACCAGTTGCATGTTACTGAGAACATGCATGAGGCCTTTCCAAACAGTGGGTACAGCCCTACTGGTCGGCACAGCCCAAATAATTCCTGAGATCATTGCTCATTCCTCTGTGGAATCTATGTACACAAACTCCACACCCAAGGTCCTCAACCTGGGATGCACAGGCCAATAGGAAGAAGGCATCTGGGGATGCTTGAACCTGAACCTGCAAACTAAATTTTACACTCGCCCAGTGTTCTGGAAAATGAACCCTGAACTTTCCAAAAACTATTTGTCCCACCAAAAAAAAAAAAAAAAAAAAAAAGTGGGCAGGGGAGATAGCTCAATATAATAAGCACTTACCTGGCAAGTGCAAGGGCCTGAGTTCAATCTCTGGTTCCGAAAAAAAAAAAAAAAACAAAAAACAAAAAACAAAAAAAAACAAACAAACAAACCTGTATTTGTTATAGGTAAAAGGCAGTCTTATAATTAGCATTCCACTTCTGGGAATTTATACCATAAAATCAATCAACTTACGAGCAAAGATATTCACTGTGGAACTGTTGTAACAAAGTTATTGGAAACAATCTAAGTATCAATAGGCAACTGTTTAAGCAAATAATGGTATATTCAGTGAAATGGACTATGATACCCCCATTAAAAAGATCCACTCAGCTAGCTGTGCCAACCTGCAGTTCCAGTCACTTCCAGAGGCTAAGGTAAAAAGATCCCTTGAGCCTGGGAGTCTGAGACCAGGTTGAGTAACACCAAAAAAAAAAAAAAAATTTTTTTTTTTTTTTGGTTGAACCAGGGATTGAACTCAGCCCCTTGCGCTTGCCAGGCAAGTGCTTATTCTACTGAGTTATCTACCCAGTCCCAAAACTTTTTTTTCAAGAAGCTCTAGGAGCCTGGTGTGGTGGCACAGGCCTGTGATCCCAACACTCAAGAAACTGAGGCAGAAAGATCCTTGCCAGTTCAAGAGCAGCCTGGGGGGCCGGGGAAATGGCTCAGTAGAATAAGAGCTTGCCTGGCAAGCACAAGGGCCTGAGTTCAATCCCCGGTTCCACAAAAAAAAAAAAAAAAAAAAAAAAGAGCAGCCTGGGCTCCAAAGTGAGCTCAAGGCCAGCCTGAGCTGCATAACAAGACCCTGTCTCAAAAAAACAGAGGAGGAGGAAAAGGAGGAGGAGGAAGAGGAGGAAAAGGAGGAGGAGGAGGAGGAGGAGGAAGAGAAGGAGAAGGAGGAGAAGGAGATGGAGAAGAAAAAGAGGAGGAGGAGGAAAAGGAAGAGGAAGTGGCAGCTCTAGGAGTATGGTCTAACAGAAGTTCTGGGAGAGAAGGAAAGAAAAAAGGTTTCTATCCTCAGGGGACACTGTGATATCTCTCATGACATCTCTGGCTGTGAAGACATAAGGGCAGCTCCTGCCATGGTGCAGGTGGAAACCAGGGATGCTGGTCCACACTCTGCAGTACCCAGGACTGTGGGAGTGAATTCCCACCGTTCACGACACCTTTAACAAAATAACCAAAGTACAGTACACAGGATTACATAGTGTCTCATTAGTGTGTCTATGTTTAAAAAAAAAGACTAGCCGTGCTTGATGGCACACGAATGTAACCCTGACACCCAGTATTGCTGGGAGTTCAAGGCGAGTCTGGGCTACAGTGAGTTCAAGGCCAGCTTGAACTGCATAGCGAGACCCTGTCTCAAAAAGACTGAAATAGGGCCGGGGAGATGGCTCAGTAGAAGAAGCACTTGCCTGGCAAGCGCAAGGGCCTGAGTTCAATCCCTGGTTCTGCAAAAAAAAAAAAAAAGAAAAGACAAAAATAAAATAATCATAATACTCAAGGTAAGGAGTATGCATATTTTGAGGCAGGGACCTTAACCACCGACATTATGTCGGTGTCAGTCTCCACCTGGCAAGAAGGGAAGGATGGGAGTGTGGAAACTGACTTTTCTCTACCAGCTCAACTTTGCACCTTGTCCAACAAGAGGATTTTGAAAACACTTGCTCAAGACACAAATCTTCCTTGCCCCCAAGCTATCTGGCAAGAGTCCTGGGTCCACAGCCTCGGGATGTAAGTTTCTTTCTCTTCTCCCCGGCCCCCAGCGCCCCACTTCTAAAAGGGAAGAGGGTACGGAGAAGAGACAAGGGTCGTCCCGCGCCGGCCTGGATTATTTGGAGTGCCTCCTGTCCCTCCCAGCAGCGCTGCCCACCCTTCTCGAGGACACTTGGGGACCCGAAAGCCATCACGGCCTGGGCCACCTCGCAGCCCCCGCCATCCTCGGCTCCCACAGCCGGCAGGAGACACGTAGCAGCGCCGCCCCCTCGGTTCCCTCCCGAGCCAGCGCTGGGCCTGGACCCCCACCCCGGCCCGCCAGGGTCCCCCCGCCTCACCCTCCGCTCACCTGGCTCGCCTTGTAGAACTGCTTCTTCAGCCCGGCCACCGACATGCTGCCTCCCGCTTTCGGGCCTCCCGCCCGGACTGAGTAAAACGCAGGCCCCGCTCAAGCCACAGCCTTCCCCGGAGCCACCAACCTCTCGCGTGCCTCAGCCGCCCCTATTGGCGCCGCCCGCACCGCCCGCTGGCAAACTCGGCGCGCTCCCAGGCGCCGCCTCAGTCGCTCGCGCGCCCGAGATCTCAGGATATTACATGGCAGCCGCACACTTCCGGTGCCGGCCCGTCTCGCGCGCCGCCCCCGACCCCGTCCTCGCTTGCACGCCCCCTGTCGGCCGGAAAGCGCAAGCATCCTGCACCACCGATATAATGGTGTGCCCTAGAGAAGCTATGGAGGCTGTAGCGCACCCTAGAGGATCGGCGGTGGACCTAAAGCTTCGGGAAAACCACCTCGCTCAGATTCGAGGCTCTAGAAATCAGCTTGCTCGTCTCAACGAGACCCAGTTCTTCTGTGTATTTAGCTCCAGCTCCCCACACTGTCCATGTCCATCCGTTCAGTTGCTCAATCCGTGCATCTTGGTCTCACATTGATTATTCCACTTACCTCCATTCTGGTATCCGAGCTTTAGAGTCTCCCTGACAATACATCCTCGAAAAGGCAGTGGGGAAGATACTTACGGAACACAGTTCAGATCACGGTAGTCCTCTGCTTGAAGTCCACCCGCCACACATCTGATACACTCCAAGCTTCCTAAGCCTGACCAGTTCAGCTTTTTAAATTCTTGTTCTCTGTTCTCTTCATCTGCTAGTATAAAGCCTGTTTTCTGTGGGACACTCTTTACAGCTTTGTTCTCTTAAACTCTCCCCCCAGTCTTTGTGTGTGTGTGTGTGTGTGTGTGTGTGTGTACTCACTTTGTAGCCCAGGCTGGTCTCGAACTCCCAAGATCCTCCTACCTCAGCCTCCTGAGTGCTGGGATTACAGGCATGTGCTACCATACCGGGTTTTCCCCCTAATCTTGCTTACACCTTTTGTGCATGAAAAGGACTATGGGGCAGGGGAGATAGCTCAGTAGAATAAGGACCTGCATGGCAAGTGCAGGGTCCTGAGTTCAATCCCCAGTTCTGCAAAAATAAATTAATTAAATAAATAAAAAGGAATCGGTCTGGAATTTCACCTCCCCCAGGAGGTCTCTTTAAATGGACGGTTTTTTTTTTTTTTTTTTTTTTTTCTTCCTGGAACGGGACATCGAACTCAGGCCCTTATGCTTGCCAGGCAAGTGCTTATTCTACTGAGCTATCTCCCTGGCCACCTAGATGCATGTTTATTGATATGTATTTTTTTGTGTATGTGGTGTGGTGCCAGAGATCGAACCAAGGTCCCTGCACCTTGCCTAAGTTTTTTTTTTAAATTTGTTTATTTATTTATTTATTTATTTAGTGTGGCCAGCTCAGCCCACCAGGGGGCGGGGCTGGCTGGCCTGTGGTGCTAGGGATTGAACCGCGGTCCCTGTGCTTTGTTTATTTTATTTTATTTATTTATTTTTATTTATTACATTTATTTATTGTGTGTGTGTGTGGCCAGCTCAGCCCACCAGGGGGCGGGGCTGGCTGGCATGTGGTGCTGGGGATCGAACCGCGGTCCCTGTGCTTTGCCAAGCTCGTTTCAAGTAGTTGCTTTAGACCACTGAGCCATCTCACCAGCCCTAAGTTTTGTTTTTTTTTAATATTTGTTTATTTATTTATTTTGTGTCTGTGTGTGGCCAGCTTAACCCACCAGGGGGCGGGGCTAGCTGGCATGTGGTGCTGGGGGATTGAACCGTGGTCCCTGTGCTTTGCTTAGCTTAGCTTGTTCTAAGTAGGTGCTTTAGACCACTGAGCCATCTCACCAGCCCCAAGCTTTTTTTTTTTTAAGCAGGCGTTTGTTAATTTTTTTAGCTTACCAAAATATTTATTATTTCTTCTTATTTTGATACTTAATTCTGTCATATGAGATTCTATATTACACAGAAAGCAAGACACATTTTTGAAATAAATGTGGCTTTTCTATAAAAGAAAATATAAATGCTTCCCGAACTTCACCAAAGTGATTGTTGTTTCTATTGTTTACAAGATTACCTGTGACCCCAAACAGTAAAATGAGATTTTACATTTAACTGAAATCCAAAATATGCTGGGAAAATAAAAATAAGGTAAACAATGATGTAAGAGGCTGCAACTCACCAAGAAGCAATAGAAACGATGAACTGTCCTTGGTGGCAGAAAGCAACTTAAGGCAGACTTGTACTCTGTTTATTTTTTTCATTTTTTTTTTAAATTTTATTTATTTGTGTGTGTGTGTGTGTGTGTGTGTGTGTGTGGCCAGCTCATCCCACAAGGGGGCGGGGCTGACTGGCATGTGGTGCTGGGGGATTGAACCGTGGTCCCTGTGCTTTGCTAAGCTTGTTCTAAGTAGGTGCTTTAGACCATTGAGCCATCTCACCAGCCCCTTGCACTCTGTTTAAATAGGCATTTTAGACTGGTGAGCTGTCTCACAGGCCCTGATATGAATTTTTGTATCAACTGTTACTGATAAAAATTTACCAGGTGTGGTGGTGCATGGTTATAATCCCAGCACTCAGGAGGCTGAGTCAAGAGATCAAAAAGAGTTTTTTGTTTTAATTTTTTAAATTTTTAAAATTTTGTTACACAGAGTTTGAGACAAGCTGGGGTAATGGTGAATTTTTTGTTTGTTTTTTGATGTGTGTGTGGTGCTGAGGCTTGAACTCAGGACCCTGCACTTGCCAGGCAGGCACTTATTTTACTGAGTTTTCTCCCTGGCCCGTAATGGTGAATTTAAGGCCAGCCTGAACTACATAGCAAGACTGTCTTAAACAAAAAACCCAACAAAGCAAAACAAAAACAGTTTTTGAATGAACAATGAGTTTGGATGAGTAAATAAATCCAAAAGAGGAACATGAAAATTATTGTAACGAAGGTGCTGAGAACTTCAAAGTTGAAAATGCTGATAGGTTTGGATGATTATTCTAAAGCAAAAGTTTGCTAGAAACTTCCAAATGCCTCAACACAAGAAAGTGGACTACATCAAAGTATTGCTAAAATAATACAAAAATATGGCTAGGTGTGGTGGGACATGCCTGTAATCCCAGAACTTGGAAGGCCGAGGCAGGAGTATCACTACAAGTTCAAGGCCAGCCTGGGCTACATAAGTGAGTTCAAGGTCAATCTAAACTGCATAGTGAGGGCTGGGGAGATAGTTCAGTGGAATAAGTGCTTGTATGGCAAGTGCAAGGTCCTGAGTTTGATCCCTGGTACCACCAAATAAATAAATAAATAAAGACTACATAGTGAGACCTGCTTTAAAAAGACACCACACACACACAAGGATACTCATGCAGCCATTATGAATAGTTTAAAAAGGCTCCCCCATGTGATTCTGACATATTCAACTGTTTTAACAAAATCCCAGCATATCAGAGAAGGAAAATACCCTCATGACTCAGACAGGAAAAATGAGACCTCTAGTCATGGCCCGATTTGCCCAAAGTGATATCTCGGAATTGTCTTATTTTTCAACACTTTCCTCAATTTTACTGATTATCCAGTCTACCTAAAAAAAATTATTCATTTTTTTTCTGCAAAGCTTTATTTTTCTTTTGTTTATTTTATTTTATTTTTTTCTGCAAAGCTTTATTCCAGAGGGGCTCAGGCCTTTTTGGAAGCTGCCTTCCTCATGGTGGCCAGCACATTGCTCAGCTCCTCAAGCTTCCTCTTGGCGCAATGTGCTTCCCCACCCTTTTCTTAATGAGCTTGAGAGTGTGCCTGTCCTTGGAGACCTTGAGCAGCTCCATGGCGCGCAGCTCGCAGAGGGCGAAGCCGCACACCTCCCGGATCATGTCCCGCACGAACTTGGTGTGTTTGGTAAGAAGTATGTGATGCTGGCTGTGCCTCAGTTTGTTCACATTCTTAGTCACCTTGTGGCCCTTGCTGAGGCCCATGGCCATGGGATAGCAGAGGGCCATGGCTACTTTTCTTTGATGGTTGCTGTAGGGGAGGCTAAAAAGTATTCTAAATTTGGACTAGATTCCATTTTTTTCTCATCACCTTCTCTCCTGAGATGTTACATTGGTGCTGAAAGCTTAATTAATTAATTAATTTTGGATGGGTCTCCCTATGCAGTCCAGGCTGGTCTCAAATTCAAGATGATCCTCCTGTCTCAGGCTCCCAAGAGTAGTGGATTTACTGGTGTGTACCACCACACCCAGTCAGAAAGCCTACTTTAAAACTCACAATCTGACACTGTAGGTCTTCATTCTTCTGTGCAAACCTGTATTTTCTAGTGTGGGGATGGAACCTAGGCCTTAGTACATGGTAAGGAACTATTTTCCCACTTAGATAAATACCTTGTTCCATGTGAGGCTTTTGACTTACACGATCTCTCCACTTCAGTCAAATAATATTCATGCGGGCCGGGGAGATGGCTCAGTAGAATAAGTGCTTGCCTGGCAAGTGCAAGGGCTTAAATTCAATCCCAGGTTCCACAAAAATACAAAACAAGGGGCCGGGGAGATGGCTCAGTGGAATAAGCGCTCCCCTGGCAAGCGCAAGGGCCTGAGTTCAATCCCTGGTTCTGCCAAACAACACCATCACCACCAAAGGACATTCATGCATTGTTTGATAAGTACCTAAAATGTATCAGTCATACACAAATATTAGTGAGCCCCATCTGGGCCACTTGGCAAGATCTGGTCTCAAAATAAAAAGGGTGAATAGAAAGATTTGTTCTAATAGTGTTTGTGGACAGGATACCATGTCTGCATCTTGTACAATGAATAGCCAGTAAGACAACAATATGCAATGTATTAATTATTGAAACTGTCCTACTAATCTTTTTTTTTTTTTTTTTTTTTTTTTTTTTTTTTTTTTTTTTTTTTGTGGAACTGGGGGTTGAACTCAGGCCCTTGTGCTTGCCAGGGAAGCACTTATTACACTGAGCCATCTCTCCAGCCCCTACTAATCGGTTTTGAAACTATCTCATTGCTATTTGTTTCTCAATACAATTATTTAAAAAAATTTTTTTAAAAAGGGCTGGGATTGTAGCTCAGTGGGAAAGCGCCTGTGGGTTTAATTCTAAGCATCACAAAATGAATTTAATAGTTAATGAAACTAGTCAAATGACACTACTAAACAGCTGTCATTAAGAAAAAAAAAATGCTGCGAGAACTTGATCATACTGCAGGTAGAAGAGGAAAAAAATATTCTTTTTTTTTTTTTGCGGAACCGGGGATTAAACTCAGGCTCTTGCCCTTGCAGGGAAGCGCTTATTCTACAGAGCCATCTCCCTGGCCCCTGAAAAAAAATATTCTTGAAAAAAGAAAAAGATCTTAAAGTTAGTAGAAATAAAAGGGAAAAGCTGCTTGTAGAGGAAACAGTCATGCACAAAACAGCCTTAAAACAGAGACGTTCATTTCATTCATTTGCTCTAATACATTTACTGCATGCTAAACGCTTCTAAAACTCCACCCAGACATTATTTTATTATTCACGTAGAAAATAACAATTTTTATTGCAGTCGTTATATTTAACCAATGTTCAATTTAAGATAAAAGTTCAGTCCTCTAAACCGCAGTTTCCGGTTGTCAATAGCACCGCTCGTGACGCATTATGACCCGCCCCCTCCCACAGGCTCAGCCAATCGTACTGCATATTTATGTTTGACATCTTACGTACCCAATCGTAGAGTTTCACCAGCCAATGACGGGTTGCCGGAAAAGAGCCCCTCCTTTCCCCTACCCTCAGGAATATCAATGAGGGACTCAAGGTAGGAATGGAAGCCACGGCTCTCGCGAGGATGCTCCCGGCGCTCCTCTCTTCCCGAGGCGGGCCGTCACGTGACGCGATCTTGTCCAATCAGTGTGCGGGCTACGGGGGTCGCCGCGGTTCCCGCCAAATACGAGCGCGGCGGCCGCGGCAGCCTGGCGCGGGCGGGAGGGCGAGCAGCAGTGGCTGCGGGAGCTGAGCCCGCGCCTCCGCCGCCTCAGGGGAGTTCGAGCTGCCGCCCGAGAGATGCTGGAGGAGGCGGAGTGCGCGGCGCCGGGCGCCAGGGGAGCGGCCCCAGGTAAATTGGGGCTCGCGCTGAGGGGAAGGGGCGCCGCGGCCTGTGCGGGTCGCTTCGGCAGGGTGGGAGTGGACGCGCCTCTGGGTCTTAGGCTGGGCGATCAGTTCCCGGGGCCTAATAATCCCTATCCAGGGCCTTGCTGCCCTAAGAGCGCCTTTTTTGACGTCATTGTTGCCGCCGAGACCACGTATTTATGTATGTCTGTTTCCTTTCCTTGGCGCATTTGCATCAGTTCGTCTTTCCAGGGGCTTCTGGCGGGAGTGATGGGTCAGTGGAGCCAAGAGGGGAAACTGAGATACAGGAAGGCAGAAAGGCCGGCTTTGGATGCTCCTTGGTACGTTTGTGTTTCCTAAGCAAGTTGGACCAGGTAGCAAGTGGGGAAACCGAGGCACGGGGACACCGAAATTGCTGCCTGTTTTGAGTTCCGCTTGGCCAACCCAGGAAAGAGATTTGTGTGGTGGGGATTGCTTGCGACTGCTTGGTAGCGGGTGATGCGTAAAGTACCTTCTCTGTTTCTTGGAAGGGATCTTTATAGCACGCAGCAGGCCTCCCAAAACGTGAGGCGGGGAACCAAGGAAACTCTTAAGCACCTGTCTCCGCTGCTTGACTCCCCATTGAATCCCCAGCTCCCCCACAGTGTTTGACAGGTACCAGGAGCCCTGATAAGCATATGTTGGTTGGATAAATTAAGGACTGGAAAGAAACATCAACTAATCTAGTTCTTGGTTTCTCAGTTTCAGCACTATTGATGTGTGGGGCTGTCTTGGCCACAGTAGGGCTCAGAACAGCATTCTGACCTCCACAACCAAGCTAGCAATAACCCCTTCTCTACGGTTGTGACAACAGAAAATGACTCCAAAAAGTGACCAAGTGTCACCTAGGACACCAGACAACCCCCCCACACTGGGAAATAGCTCAGGGGTGGAGGCATTGCCTAGCATGTGTGAGGTCCTGGGTTCCATCCCAGTACCATTGGACGACAGAGAAACCTTGCAGTATCTAGTTGGGATTTCACAGAGACATACAATTAATATAAATAAAATGAGGAGGACTGACTGTCAAGGAACTGTTGTTGTTCCTTCTATTTAACAAGTCAGAAAGTTTAGTTTTGAAAAAAATTGAAAGCTGAACAGTTTGACCACATTAGCATAAAAGAACAGGATGGGGGCCAGGGAGATGGCTCAGTGGAATAAGCGCTTCCCTGGTAAGTGCAAGGGCCTGAGTTCAATCCCCAGTTCAGCCAAAAAAAAACAGAACAGGATGTTTTAAAATGCTAAGTATAATTAGGAAAGGTGTAACCTCAGAATAAAGAGCAGTTGGTAATGCTCCATGCACAAATGTGTTCGTGCATGTGTACCTTTGAATAGTCTATGTACTTGGATGAGGTCCCATTTTTATATCAATTTAAGGTCACTTCTGGCTACAAGTCATGTCTGTTATCCATACATCAAGGCCGGTTGCTCAGAGACATACAAACTGTGGTGGTTGTCTTGGACTTTTTATTTGGCGGTACTGGGGATTGAACTCAGGCCCTTACACTTGCCAGGGAAGTGCTTATTCCACTGAGCCATCTCTCTGGCCCCTCTTTTTTTTTTTTTTTTTTTTTTTTTTTTTAATTAATTAATTTATTTTTTGGGCAGAACTGGGGATTGAACTCAGGCCCTTGCGCTTTTTGTCTTTTTGAGACGGTGGCACATTGTGCAGTTCAGGTTGTCCTTGAGTGAGTGCACTTTGTAACCTAGGCTGGTCTCAAACTTGGCAACAGTCCTCCTGTCTCAGCCTCCTGAATGCTGGAACTTAAATTTTATTTTTTTTATTTTTTTATTTTTTTTAAATTTATTTATTTGTGTGTGTGTGTGGCCAGCTCAGCCCATGTGGTGCTGGAGGATTGAACCGCAGTCCCCGTGCTTTACTAAGCTTGTTCTAAGTAGGTGCTTTAGACCACTGAGCCATCTCATCAGCCCCTGGAACTTAAATTTTAATGGCTGAAAACTATATATTCTTCATTAGAGGAAGGAAAAAAGTTGGGGTACCTTTTCTTTCCAAGAGTAAGTGAGAGTTAGAAAGTGAGTGGGTAGTTTCAGCTATGGACAGCTGGGTATTTTTTTAGAAAGTTGTGGTCTGATTTCCCTGTAGCTTTTACAAAATGTATGTAGATTCCCCAAAATAACTAAACTAGATCTTTCTAAACCAAATTGGATAGCAGGTGTGAGCATCTAAAGTTAACCTATGTAAAGATGTTTATCCCAAGCTTTTGTTCTATTTATGATTAGATCTGTATCAACTTTATTATTAGATTATGTTCTTGATTTTTGTTTTCTTGTTGCAGGAAGTTAGTCTCTGTCACATCTTGCTAGCACTTCAGCTCATGCCTGACAAGCTCAGAGTGCCTTAAATTGTGTTCCTTTCACAAAATGAATCCTTTTCTAATTTTATACTTTTGTTGGTGATGAAGGGGGTTGGGTTGGAAAGGGATGCTTCAAGTCATGTTTGTGGTAAAATAGATAATCCTGTTTTCTTTCATCTCTACCTTTTCTCATCCACAGCCTGTTTCTCTGGTTACTCATCTCTTGGCTTCCTGGTACATTTCAGACCTTGAGCTAAGTGCTTTATGTACAATGCGGAATGTCACTAGTGTTAGAGGGCTGTCATTCTGTTTGGAGGGAAACAAAATCATAAAACTTTTAATCACAAAATGCTCATATAATTGTTTATCATGGGGGACCTGACCTGGGTGTTGCAGAATATTTAGCAACACTGTCCTCTACTAGACAGAGTAGCATCTCTTAGTCCTTTCTGTCCCATCATGGCAAAAAAAATGAGCCACTAGATATTGCCTGATACCCCTGGCAATGAGGGCAGAATCTTGGGCTGGGGAGATGGCTCAGTGGAATAAACGCTTCCCTGGAAAGTGCAAGGACCTGAGTTCAATCCCCGGTTCCACAAAAAAAAAAAAAAAATGAGGGCAGAATCTACCACTGGAAAGTCACCTTGCACTTACTTGGTTCTGTATACATCTGCTGGCTTTTTCCCAAACTTAGTAACTTCTTCATTGTTATTTTATTCACAGCAATGGATTGCAAAGACAGACCAACCTTTCCAGTGAAGAAGCTGATACAAGGTAACACTGGACAGGGGTTAGATGGTTGTCTCCGATTGCCACCCCTTTGGAGGGGAGAAACACAATTCATTCTTCTATAGGTCCCTTGTTCAAAAGTATTTCAGAGGGGCCGCACAGATAGCTCAGTAGAATAAGTGCTTGCCTGGCAAGCGCAGAGGCCTGAATGTAATTCCCGGTGGGGGGGGGGGTATTTCAGACCAACAGTGTTAGGGATTTCAGACTTTCTTGTTTTGGAGTATTTGCATATATGTGGTACGCTAAAAATGGGACCCAACTATAAGTGCAAAATTGTCGCAGATATAGACTACTTGAAGGTAATATTCTATAACATTTTGCTCATTATTTATATTGCTATACTAAAGGTGGAACCAAGATGATGTACTTGTCAGGCAAATGCTGTACCACTGAGCTATATTTTTATTTTTTATTTATTTTGTCTTTGGAGACGGGGTCTCAGTGCAGTTCAGGCTGGCCTTCAGCTCACTTTGTAGCCCCTGCTAATCTTGAACTTGCAACAATCCTCCTGTCTCAGTCTCCCATGTGCTGGGATTATGGGCATGCACCCCACACCTGACCATTGAGCCATATTTTGAAAGGTTATGTTTAAATGGTTTCAGATTTTGGAGCTTTTCATTTTAGGTTTGATCTGCTTGTACTAGGAAGCTAGGTGGAACCCTGATCCTTTTTTTTTTTAAATATATTTGGTACAGGGTCTACAGAGTCTTACTATATAGACCGGACTCATAGTGATTCTCCTCTGTTTTCAGCCTCCCAAGCGCTGGGATTACAGGCACGTGCCACCATACCCAGTCTTAATCACCGTCTCAGCCCATCTCCCCGGCCCCTTTTGTTTTTGTTTTTCTGGTACTGAGAATTGAACTCAGGACCTTGTGCTTGCCAAGTAGTTGCTTATGCCACTGTACTATGTCCCTAGCCCCAAGATTTTTTTATTTTGAGGCAGGGTATCCTTAAGTTGTCCAGGCTGGGCTAGAACTTGTGATTCTCTTGCCTCATCCTCCAAGTGGGCTGGGATAACAGGTATCCATCACCATGTCTGACTTTGGGAAACCCTTTTCTGTACAGTATTGTTCTATGGCATAATAACAATCCAAAGCTCACTACCTCTAGAGTAGGGTCTCTCTACTCTCAACTGTTTGTTTCTACTCTCAGCTTGATGGATGTTTTGTGTCTTTTTTTCTCCTCTGAGGGTGCTGTCCTGAATCTTGTAGGGAATTTAGCAGCATCCCTGACCTCTTCCTCCTAGGGGCAAGTAGTGACACCCACAAACATCTCTATGTATTGTCTGCTATCCACAGCTGGGGATCAGAGCTACCTCACTTGTGAACTCTTGCTGTTTAGGACAACTGATGTCCCCAAATCCTCTTCATCTACAGTCTAGATCAGAGCATGGATCTTATGAAAAACTGGTTTTATTTTATTTTATTTTTTGGCAGAACCGGGGATTGAACTCAGGCATTTGCACTTAACAGGCAAGCACTTATTCTACTGAGCTATCTCCCTGGCCACTGGTTTCTGGTTTTAAAACAGGGTTTTCATTCTAGCTTGCCTGTGGCAGTCTGTCTCCTCCTTTGGTGACTGCTAGCACATTTGGTGTTGGTGGGAATCCTATGGAGCAGGCATTCGAAGGGGAAGACGTTAGGACAAAGTCGCAGAGCTTGAGGGAGCCCTTGTTCTGTAAACTTGGAGTGTAAGTGGGACAGTGATGACCTAGCCTGGACGATTTAGTGAGACTCAGTACAAAACAGAAAAGGGCCGGGTGTGCAGCTCAATGTAAAGGCCCTAGGTTTGATGTCTTACACACACACACACACACACACACACACACACCCAGAAAAGAATGAATTTGTTTTGTTCTTTTTTCTTTTGTCTTATTTCAAGATGAACTAGTAAGAGGTAATTTGACATTTAAGTGAATATAAGCTCCTTGGGTTCAGTCATTTACATTTTCTCACTGTTTAGAGTCGTCAACTTTTTTTTTTCCCCTGCAACTCAAGCATAGTAGGTGCTGGAAGAAAGGTATTTGATTGGTCAACAAATTTGACAACTGGTGCCAGAAAGAAAAGTCTCCACATCTGGGCGGATGTATTTCCCTTTTAAAACCAAAAGTTGTTACCTTCAAATGGGGTTTTTCTTACCCATTATAAGTAAATCTGAAGTCATGTGTGGTGGTGCATGCCTATGATCCTAGTCCTGTGAGAGGCTGAGGCAAGAAGATCTCAAGGTCACCCCCAAAAAAGGTCAAGGTCAACCCAAGTCTGGATAACTTAGCAAAAAACTGTCTCAAAATAAGACAAAGGGGGCCAGGGAGATGGCTCAGAATAAGCGCTTGCCTGGCAAGCGGAAGGGCCTGAGTTAAATCCCTGGTTCTGCCAAAAAATAAAGATGGAAAGAATGCAGATGTAATTCAGTGTGAAGGCCCTTAGGTTCAGTCTCCAGCACTGAAAAAAATTAATTAGTTAATTTGGGATTTGAATTGGATATATTTTTTTTAATTTTATTTATTTGTGTGTGTGTGTGTGTGTGTGTGTGTGTGTGTGTGGCCAGCTCAGCCCACCTGGGGGCAGGGCTGGCTGGCATGTGGTGCTGGGGAATCGAACCGCGGTCCCTGTGCTTTGCCAAGCTTGTTCCAAGTAGGTGCTTTAGACCACTGAGCCATCTCACCAGCCCAGAATTTTGGATTTTATGTGTTATTGTTGATTTGTGTTTTGGTTTTTTGAGACAGGGCATTACCATATAACTCAGGTTGGCCTTGAACTCACTACGTAGTCCAGGCTGGCCTCAAACTCATGGTAATCCTCCTACTTCAGCTTTCCAAATGCTAGGATGATAGACATGCCTCACTAGGGCTGGTTGATTTTAAGTTTTCTTTTTCTTTTTTTTTTTCTTTTTGCGGAACCGGGGATTGAACTCAGGCCCTTGCGTTTGCCAGGGAAGCGCTTATTCCACTGAACCATCTCCCCCGTCCCCACTGAGCCATCTCCCTGGCCCAATTTTAGGTTTTCTGTAGGATGTTAGAAAAGTATATGGATATGAGAGTGATCTGGCTGCGACATCTGTCACCCCATTGATCGCCAGGGTTGATTCACCTGATCTGGCTGGCTAGGCGGGTGTCTCCTTCCTCCCTCAACGATCCATGTGCGTCCCTCCTGAAGCTGCACGCTTGGTCGAAGAGGATGACCATTCCCAATAGAGAAGGACCGTTCCTTGGTCAAGGGTGTATGAGTAGCTGCGCTCCCCTGCTAGAACCTCCAAACAAGCTCTCAAGAAAAGTATAGAATGAAAACATAGCCACTCCTTTTGTGGACTGGGGATTGCACCCAGGGTCTCAGGCATGCTAGGTAGATGATGTATCGCTGTATCGCTGAGCTATATCCCCAGCCCTGATAGGACAATTAAATTAATTATTTAGGCTATAGCCCTGGGAATGAACCGAGAGCCTTATGCATGCTATGGACGTATTCTACCACATCTTCTGTGTTCCTGATGTTAAAGATAGAACATCTAGGGCCATTATGAAGAGTTATATTCCCCAGCCAGCCTCTTTTTTATTGGGTTGTTTTTAAGGGAGCAAGCTTTATTTAGTTCATAGTCTGTACAGGTTTCAGCCCACAACTTGCTGACTCTGAAGAAGAGTATACATGGCAGAGGGGCAGAGGACAGCAGAAGCAACAGGGAGGGGAGAGAAAGAGTCTCTTTTTTATTTTGAAACAGCGTCTTTTGCTGAGTTGCCCAGGCTGGGCTCAAACCTGTCATCCTCCTGCCTTAGCCTCCCAGTGTGCTAGAATTACCAGAGTAAGCTATAATGCTTAGCTCCATTTTAAAATTGAGTAAGTCTCCTTCCAAAGCCCAGCAAAGTCCATAGTATGTGTGAATTTATTTATTTATTTTTTGGCAGAACCGGGGATTGAGCTCAGGCCCTTGTGCTTGCCAGGGAAGTGCTTATTCCACTGAGCCATCTGCCCGGCCCCTGTAGCAAAGTCCCTAGTTCCCATATACACAGGATGGTAAAGTTTTGATGGATTGTCTCTATACTTTGAATTTTTTTTTTTTTTTTTTTCAGAACTGGGGATTGAACTCGGGCCCTTGCGCTTGCCAGGGAAGCGCTTATTCCACTGAGCCATCTCCCCGGGCCCTCTATACTTTGACTGAAATGTGGACTTTCTATTTCAGCCCGTCTGCCGTTCAAGCGCCTGAATGTTGTCCACAAGGAGAAAGCCAGGGATGAATCAGATGACAGAAGCTCTCAGAACGCCTCAGCAGAAGAGAAAGTCACTGACATAGAAGCCTCTTTGGACATCTTGGAGAATGACTGTCTTACGGATTCTGACCTGGACTTCAGACCGAAACTCATCAATGGGAAGGGTCCCTTAGATAACTTCATAAGAAGTGACATCAAAAGCAGTCTCAGCCAGAACACAGACGTCATTGATTTGACAGAGGACTCTAATGAGCAGCCAGAGAGTACTGTGAACCACAAGCCACTAAATCCCAAAGCTTTCCTGCCTGGGGAAGCTACAGATGAGAGGCCCTTGAAGTTAATTTGTAATGACAAGTTGGGGCTTCCTAAAGAGACCCTTTCAGACAGTCCCAGCAAAACAGAGGAGGAACCTGGGAGCTTAGGTTGCCCAGACAGGAATGGCAGCTCCCTGCTGAGCTGCCCCAAGCTACCTGGTTGCCCAAGTATTTGTCCCAAAAAGGAACAGGATGGTTGGAGCGAAGCTGGCGGCCTCCTGTTTCAAGGGAAGGTCCCTGTGGTGATCTTGCAGGATGTCCTGGCTGTAAAACCTCCCTGTGCCAAGTCTCCTCCCGGGACACCTCTGGACAAGAGCGGGACGTCAGAGAGCGAGGTGTTTGAATCATGCCCAGAAGACTCTGTCCTTAGCCATTCATCCCTGAGCTCCTCTCCCATCACCTCCCCTGAGGGGCCAACTGCTCCTGAGAAGCAGCAGGGGGGCATCAGGACCTCCCCCGCCCCCACACCTGTCCGCAGAGTGAGTATGTCCTGTGGGAGCCTAGCTTGCTGGTACGATAGGGCCCGTGGTGTCACACAGTGGTTCATGGCCCAGAGAATGAGACTACAAGCTCAATCTTGTGAATGTCAAATAACAGCAGCTTTGGTTCTGTGTGGACAGTGATGGACTAGGGAACTGTTCCACAGGAGGTTGGCTTTTTTTTTTTTTTAGAATTGCTTATTTATTTTTGGTGGAACTGGGGATTGAACTCAGGTCCTTGCGCTTGCCAAGCAAGTGCTCATTCTACTGAGCCATCGCCCCAGCCCCCTGGCTTTCTTTTTTTGCGGAACCGGGGATTGAATTCAGCCCCTTGCGCTTGCCAGGGAAGCGCTCATTCTACTGAACCATCTCCCCAACCCCCAAGGTTGGCTGTCTTATGAGACTGATTCCGCCAGCCTTGGTGTTTATTTATAAGGAGTAGTAGCTTCAGCTTAGCCATTCTGGTGAATATGGGGTATGAGCAGGCCTTATAATGCCTATAATACCTCACTTCGCACCTGAGCTTTGGGCTCCTTTGTCGTTTCCTCTTGTCCTAGTATTTGATATGTGGGAGAAGGGTGGTAAGGAATTACCAATGTCACTGAAGTGATAGCAAGAATAAAATGGGGCGTTCTGTGGAGACAATTTTGGCAGCATAGCCATCTGAGAAGCCTCAATTGCAAGCCAGTTGTAGCAGTGTGTACTTGTACTCCTATCTCTATAGTAGGCTGAGGCAGGAGGATCATGAATCCAGCCCAGACTAGGCAATTCAATGAGACCCCCGACTCAAAATTTATTTATTTATTTATTTATTTATTTATTTATTTATTTAGTGTATTTAGTACAGGGTCTCAGTACAGATTGGACTGGTAGTGAACCTCCTGTTTTCAGCCTGCCAAGTGCTGGGATTACAGGTACATACCACTACAATCTCAATCTCAGCGTGCCCTGGGGGCAGGGCCAGTATGGCATGGTACTTGCAAGTCAGTGATTTAGCAAAACCCTGTCTATATCCTGGGTTTAATCCCAATGCTGTAAAAAAAAAAAAACAAAAAAAAAAACCTATAAGAGGCTTAATGCGTTCTGGGCCTGGGGAGATAACTCAGTAGAATAAGTACTTACCTGGCAAGCGCAGGGTCCTGAGTTCAATCCCCAGTACTACAAAAAAAACATATTTTGGGTTTTAGAAATAATTGCTAGGGCTGGCCAAATAGCTCAGTGGATTAAAGGGCCTGCAGGCACAAGGGCCAGGAGTTGGATCCCCAGGCCTGCTGTGCCAGCCCTACCCCCAGGGTGGGTTGAGACTGTGATTGAGACTGGGTGTGGTGGCACACCTGTAATCCCAGCACTGTAAACAGCTGGATCACTACGAGTCAGATCTAGTAGTGAGATCCTGAACACCTTGTAGACCCTTCCCTAAAATACAGGGAAAAAAAAAAAAGAAAGAATTGCTATACAGAGCAGGCCAGGGAGATGGCTCAGTGGAATAAGCACTTCCCTGGCAAGTGTAAGGGCCTGAGTTCAATCCCCAGTTCCACCAAAAAAAAAAGAAAAAGAAAAAAAATATATTGCTGTATATGGTGAGATATTGTGGGAGTTATTAAACACAAAGCTTACTATGCTGTATTGTGTACTTTTTTTTTCCTGGGTATGGAACCCAGGGTCTTACACATACTGGGCAAATGCCCTGCCACTGGGCCACACCCAAGCCCTGCCTGTACACTTTGCATACCTCATCTGAAAGTGATATTATTCTCTATCTTTTTTTTTTTTTAATTTTTTATTTATTTATTTGTGTGTGTGTGTGTGTGTGTGTGTGTGTGTGGCCAGCTCAGCCCACCAGGGGGCGGGGCTGGCTGGCATGTGGTGCTGGGGGGATTGAACCGCCGTCCCTGTGCTTTGCTAAGCTTGTTCTAAGTAGGTGCTTTAGACCACTGAGCCATCTCACCAGCCCTATTCTCTATCTTTAGTGCATCTGTGTGTTGACTGGGTCCTGTCACCTGAGGACAGGTGTGGAATCTTCTATTTGAGGCATATATTGGTGCTCATTACTTTAACATTTGGAGGATTTGGGGTTTTGGTTTTAATGATGGATGCTTAGCCTTTTGGGTTCTTTTTAAAATTTATTTATTTGTTTTAATTAATTAATTTATTTTTGCAGAACTGGGGATTGAACTCAGGTCCTTGCTCTTGCCAAGGAAGCACTTATTCTACTGAGCCATCTCTCCGCCACCCCCCCCCCCCCTTTTAATGTATTTAGGGTCGCACTATAGTGCTGGGATTACAGGCGCACCGCCACCACGCCCAGTCTCAGTTGCCTTCTTAGCCTGCCCTGGAGGTGCGGTGCATGACACGCTGGGGATTGAACCCAGGCCACTGCACTGTGCCTGAGCAGGCACTTTAGTCCGCTGAGCTACCTGGCCAGCCTGCCTTTTGGGTTTTTGATCAGCAGTGGTAATTGTCAGTTCTCACCTGTGCTTAGGTTTCCTGGGTACATATGATGAAAATCAGTCCAGTCAGATGTGGTACCACAGTCCTGTAATTCCAGCACTCAGGAGGCTGAGGCATGAGAATCACCATAAGTAAAGGCCAGCCCAAACTACAAGGGAGGCCCTGCCTCAAGAAGTCTAAATAAGGCTTAGTGTAAGGCTGAGGCAGGAGGATCGCTGGAAACTTGAGGCTAGCCTAGGCTAAAAAGTGCATCCAGGACCTGAACTGCATAGCTATCTAAAAGACCTATAAGTGAGTCCAGATTCCCCAAATCTATTGCCTGATCTGTGGTAATTTGGTGTGTTTGTGTTAGATACTTATGTAATACTGGGTATGGAGTGGATCTTTTGTTTATTTTTATTTTTATTTTAATTTTTTTGCGGAACCAGGGATTGAACTCAGGCCCTTGTGCTTGCCAGAGAAGTGCTTATTCCACTGAGCCATCTTCCCGGCCCCTTGGAGTGGATCATTTAATCTTGACTTTTAAATTGTCTTTCTTGGGCCAGGGAGTTGGCTCAGTGGAATAAGCGCTTCCCTGGCAAGAGCAAGGGCCTGAGTTCAATCCCCAGTTCGGGGGGTGGGGGTGGGATGGGGGGGTGGTGTGAGTCTGTCTTTTTGAGACAGTTCAGGCTGGCCTTGAGCTCACTTTGTAGCCCAGACTGGTCTTGAACTCTCAACAATCCTGCCTCAGCCTCCCACATGCTGGGATTACAGGTATGTGCCACCATGCTGGGCTATAGTAATAGCCAATCTCCTTCCTTTCTTTCTTTCTTTCTTTCTTTCTTTCTTTCTTTCTTTCTTTCTTTCTTTCTTTCTTTCTTTCGTACTGGGAATCAAATTCAGACTTTGATCATTTTCATCCCCCATCACCTCTTGGCTTCCTCTTAGTTCTACTTTTTGGGGGAATCAATGTATATACTATATTTTGCTCTTATCCAGCCCCCTCCTGTTACCCTTACAACTTCTTCTCTTCCTCTCATCTGATGATGGTCTCCCTTCTACACTCTTGCCACTTTTTTAGATTCTGCATATTAGGAAAAACATCATTTGTCTTTTTTTTTTTTTTATTTTTTGGTGGTACCAGGGATCAAACTCGGGACTTTGCACCAGGCCAGGCAAGCGCTTATTCCACTGAGCCATCTTGCTGGCCCCTGTATTTGTCTTTCTGACTTTGGTTTATTTCACATAATATTATGGCCTCCAGGTCCATCCACTTTCCTGTAAATGACTTATCTCTTGTGGCTGAATAACTCTCCATTGTGTAATATGTGCCACGTCTTCCCGTATCCATCTGGTAGTTGGCATCTAGGCTGGTTGTATATCTGGGCTGCTTTGAATTGTACCACAGTAACCTTCCAGGGGTCCCTATGATTTGTGGCTTTGATTCCTTTAGTATGTACCAAGGAGTAGCATCGCTTGGCCATTTGAGGAAGTTGTGTTGTTTTGTTGTGTTTTGTTTTTGGTATTGGGAATGGAACTCAGGGCCTTATGCTTTTCAGGCAGGCACTTGTGCTGCTGAGCTATCTCCCCAGCAAGAATTACTTAAGGAAGTTTTGTTTGGTTTTGGTTTTGGTTTATCTTGGCTATATGATAGTTCTATCTGTTGATCATTGAAGAACCTCCACCCTGGTTTCCATAGCATCAATACTAATTTATAATTTATATTCCCACCAGAAGTATAGAAGAGTTCATTACTTCCACACACCTTTGTCAGCATTTATTCTTGTTTTCTGTGTTCTTTTTGTTTGCTTTGCTATGTAGCTCAGGCTGTCCTTGAACCTCACAAAAGCTCAGTCTCGCCTTGAACTTGCATCAGTCTTCTTGCCTCAGCCTCTTTGTGCTGGGATTGCAGGTGTACGCTGCCATGCCCAGCCTGGTGGTTTGTTGGTTTGCTTTTTGATTTCTTGAAAAATTCTTGCTATGTAGTCCAGGCTGGTCTTGAACTTACTATGGAACCAGGCTGGCCCCAAATTCATGGCAGTCCTGCCTCAGGCTCCTCAGTGCTGGGATCACAGGTGTACAGCATCACATCCATCTTGGTTTTTGTATTCTTATTTTTATTTTTTTAATTAAAAAATTTTTTTTAAATGTATTTAGTACAGGGTCTCACTACAAAGATCAGACTCATAGTGATTCTCCTGTTTTCAGCCTCCATGGCCAGTCTCAATTGCTCCCGGTTTCTGTGTCTGTCTAAGCAGGCACTGTAATCCACTGAGCTATCTGGCCAGCCTTGTTTTTTGTATTTTTTTTTTTTTTTGGTGGAACCAGGAATTGAACTCAGGCCCTTCCACTTGCCAGGCAAGCGCTTATTCTACTGAGCTATCTCCCCAGCCCCTCTTTTCTTTTTTCTTTTTCCTTTTCCTTTTCTTTCAGAACCGGGGATTGAACTCAGGCCCTTGCGCTTGCCAGGAAAGCATTTATTCTAATGAACCAACTTCCGGGCCCCTCCTTAATGTTTTCTTTTAGCAGTTACATAGTGTCAGGACTTATACCTAGGTCCTTAATCCTTT